ATGATGATGATGACAATAATGACGGATGATGATGATATTGATGGACGAGTGACGGTGATTATGATGAACGGAGGTGAAAATACTGATGAGTATGCTACTCCTATTAATTTCATCATGACAATGATTATGTTGAATGTGATGATGATTACGATGATGATGGATATTGATGGCAATTGAGATAATGATGATTATAGGCAAAGGAGACAGAGATGATAATGATGTTAATGATAATGGAGCTGGATCGTAAAAATTGATGAGGAGGAGGAAGAGGAGGAGGAGGATGGAGACGGATGGACGGTGATGGTGCTACTTTTGTTTATAATGAACATCGTGGTTATGATGATGGCTGTCGTCATGGTCGTGGTCATGATAATGGTTGTTAAAATGAGGCAGGTTATGATGTGGTGATGCTGGTGAACATGAGGATTATGCTGTGATGATGGTGGTGATTATGAGGATTATACTGTGATGATGATGGTGAACATGAGGATTATACTGTGATGATGCTGGTGATGATGATGATGAAGATTATCACGATGACAGTGACAGCAATTTGGTGATAATGACTATATATCAGAATGATCGAGCAAATTGTGTAAAGAAATGTTCATGTTCAACTGTGATCGTTAGTGATGATAATGTGACAGCAGGTAACATTTCATGTGTTTACTTGTTTGTGATGAAGGCGATATGCTGCATGCTGATGACAATGGCGATTTAAAAAAAAACACTGAAATTTCGATGGAACATGTTGCACGGCTACGATCGTACTATAAGCAATTTTTGTAACATATTGTATAATGAAAATTATTATCATTATCATTATCATAATTGTCATTATTGTCATTATTGTTATTATTATTATTATTATTATCATCATCATTATTAGTAATATTATTAAAATGTTACATTTTAATAATACTATACTAATAATGATGATGATAATAATAATATTATAAATATTATAATTGTTATTATCATTATTATTGTCATTCTTATTAATTCTACTTTTCTTGCTTTTATTATCATTATCATTATTATAAGTATTGTATTGTATGATTTATTAACCTAGTAACAATATTAACATAGTAACACCAATCTCTTGTATACAGGATGAGGCTGCAGCCAAGGCTGTGAATGCTCTACAGAGTGTGTATGGTACCGAATATATCTATGGACCGTCTGCTAGGACACTCTGTAAGTTACCATGATTACAACTATCTATTGATACTCCAGCCTAGGAGATTTCAAACTAATTTCTACTTTAGATTATGAAACTTTTAGATTTTATACGAATAGGCATTCTGAAGACTTAAAGGCCGGGGAATATTTATCGAGCCTTTGCAACAGCAGAAGCAGCTCAGAATCGGGCATCCATCTTTTTCGCCATTTTTAATGTTTGTTCATGTTAGTTTTTAAATACATTTGAAGCTAGTTAACGAAATATAATTAAGAAAGACACGCAAGCGGGTAGAACTAAAATCTGATATCGTAACAGAAATAAAGTTTATCTCTAGCCTTAAGATAATATATAACTTTCTTCCTTATCCAGAAAAACAATTTTATAACAAGGGCGTAATACCTTTATAAATTAAAAAAAAAGAGTGAAGTAGAATTTTCCTGAAGATCTCAAGTCAACAGCATACTTTAAAAGAATGTCTTCCTTTGGATTTGAAAATAAATTAAAACAAGTGTACATACATGTATATAAATAATTTTCCCGAAATATTAATGTTTATTGTCTTAGGATCGGACTTATGTTTCGAGCTTTCAAGTAGGGGAAAAGTCCTAAGAAGTAGCAAACTGTGGTTACGTTAGTGACATCACTAACAAACAGTCGTAAGACTAGCCACCAACTGGTAACCGACTTGGCCTTTTAAAGTACCATGACATTCAACACTCAACACTCTGACAATACGTTTTCGACATTTGGTTTTAAATGATATTGTAATTTATCTCCAAATCAAATGAAAGTCAGTCAACAGGCGTGTAATAGCCTTTAAATATTCAAAAATTGTATTGACCCCCCCTTTTTTTTTCTTTCTTCAATATTTACCAGACGCCGCCTCTGGATGTAGTGAAGATTGGGGCTACGCCACTCTGGGGGCCAAGTACTCGTACGTGGTGGAGCTGAGGGATACAGGAAGGTACGGCTTCCTGCTCCCTGCTAACCAGATCATCCCGACTGGTCAGGAGACATATGAAGCAGTCAAGGCACTCTGCAAACATATGGCGGACGAATACTAGTAGATCATTCAGCGACCATTGCTCACAATATTCAAAAACACTTATCTGGACTGTAGCAATCTTGTAAGAAACGGATCATAGATTAAAATAGATGTCATAAAAATTTACCCTCTCTCTCTCTCTCTTTCTCTCTCTCACTCTCTCTGCACTGTATAATTTAATGTCGTCTTATGAAGGAATTATTTCGATGCCTCTACCGCATATGACGTTTCCTTGGAGTTTATTGAATGGATCGGTCTAACATTGGCATGAAATAATCATATCATCATTTATTCTTAGTTCAAACATAGGACGTACTAATTATACCCAGTTGTGTATATGTAAATGTATATGATTGTTAACGGAAAAAAGAAAGAAATATATTTGAAATCCTTACATTGTGTTAAAATTGTGTTTTTCTTGTGTATGTAGGGTGAACATGAATGTGACGCAGTGGTGTATCATTGTGCGTCTTTTAAATATTAATTTCAAGTGTAGATTCCAATAAACACACATAAAGGAATGAAGAATAAGATGATAATACTCAGAGCGTTATCTTGGTTTCATGGATGATACACATTAATAATACATGTAAGTTATTGCCCCTCCTATGAAATTCAACAATTTCAAACAACTGTAATACCAAATGACAGATAACATGCACGAACTTCCCTTTCTGTAACTAGACGTGTTAAAAACGTGACGCAAAAAATATTCCTAATCATCGATGAGAAAAGACCAGCCTGTTAGCAGTTTTTCTTTGGCTGACACAAACTTGAAATAAGATAATGTCAAAATGATCGATGGATTATTGATAACGATTCAAAATAAGGGGTTATACTCATATTTAATAGCTGGGCTTTGTAATATTGATATGCCACGTATGAACGATTCATTCGTCTCGTCTGCAAGAAAGCAATACCATGTATGATAGGGGACGGGGGAAGCGACTTCATCATTATGACAATTATATTACGGTATGCACGCTGAAGCCCGATTTTGTAATTCTTATGTCATGTTTTTTAAGAAAACATTACTCAAAATGCTATTTCAATGCTGTGTTCAAACTGTAGTCCTAATCGCAGAGGGTATAATCATAATTTAAACCATCACAGATGTATTCAAAACATATCGAGGGTTTTACCAAGGTGAACCCACTGTGGCCAGTATATTCATATCCGTATAAATCTGAGTTCATTCCCAAAATTTATTTTTTTGCATCCATCTTGTTCATGTGCTTGTTCTTGTTCTTCTTGTTGGTGGTGGTGGTGATGATGGTGGTGATTGGTGGTGGTGCTGTTGTTCTCTATATTTCCTTCTTACAATACACAACCTTCTAGGATTCATGTTTTATCCAAACAATAAATTCCAAACAATCGCAACTGTTATAACAACAAGACTATGATGTTTTGTGCCTGTTCCGATTAAATTATTTAAAGAAAGCTGAATGAGAAGTTTTATAAAGAAATGTGTGGATGATGAAGGTTCAAGAAAAATGTTGTAGGTGGCATATTCCAACGTGAATGGGTGATACGGGCGCGTGTGTGCGTTGTGTACATGTGTGTGTGCGCGCGTGTGTGAGTTTGTGTGTGTGAGTTCTGCGTGTGCGTGTGTGTGTGAGTTTCTGGTGTTGCTGAGGGCTAGTGAGAACTTTCCTGTGTGAGAATTAGATTTCAATGGGTTAGTATATAGTAAAACCCGATCGCGGCCAATTTCCGAATGGGATATCTGTTGTTTTTTTTTAAATAACGAAATAAACACACAGGTTTTAACGGAGGAACAATTGGTCAAGTTGAAATCAATTAATTATTTATAAGAAACAATTTCAGCCCAACTTTCAGTAAGACATCATGGCCCAGATGTTTGGAACTCCTTACCAAATTCAATAAGGCAATGTTCATCTATCTTTTCTTTTAAAGCATCTTTAAAACAACCTCTTATATCGAAATATCATCATTCAATAGGCGATTAGTGATATCTCTAATTTAGGTCGCATTGCAAGTCATTTTTGCGACTAATACTACTACACATACACATTACACTCACAAACTCATACACTTAGATCGTATTAACACATTTTCATTTTAAAGTTTCACCTAAAGATTTTTCTTTTGAGGCCGCCATTCGGTACAAGCGTTGCTAATAATTGCAGTCTCCCGCATTTTTTCCGCAGATACTTGGGATAATATGTTAAAGAAATAATGAGTTCGTTTAATATTTATATTTGTAAATCACATTTCGACATAAAGTTATTATTGTTCGTATATCTGTATTATACCTTATACATTCACATATTCTTTGTTAGTCGATTATTGTATTTAGGAAAAATGCAGGTAAAACAAAAATCTTTTTCATATTATTTATTATTTACAGTATATGCAGGCATGATAATGGGATGAATATTGCAACTATATAATACCTGCTATAATTATTCAATTAGACATTTTGGAGTTGAGTAAACATTATCATTATTTACTGAGATGGAAAATATCAATGTAAATATTGAAAGAAGTTGGGTTTTTTGCCTAATATCTTATTACGTTGCATATTGGCCTTTAATGTAATGAGAAACATAAATTCACAGAGTTCGTATTAGTTAGTACTAGGCTGACCATAAAATATAACCACCACGTAGATAATGCGCAAATAAACTCGAAATCAAATATTGACAGAGGCCTACATAATTATTAATAAATAAGAATTCACTTAATTATAGGAACGGGACCCCCGTACTCTGGGCTTGGAGAAACTATAAACAGGACCAGAAGTGGTCTTAACCCTCACTTGTCTCTTCGTCATCATCGACGTCCGTCAAGATTGAAAATTCATCATGAAGCTCTTTATTCTCTCTCTACTGATCGCTGTAGCTGTAGCCGAGAAGGTTCGCTATGATGGGTGAGTCTATTCTCAATATCATCATATTTGTTTATTTATTTATTTATTTCTCATATTTATACAGGTCGGCACATTTCACCAATTATAGTGGTCTTCCATGAGGCCCTTTTTACACCTATAACACGAAATAAAACTTGGGAGAAATAACCCAAAGGCAATCTCTAAGTAATTCCCACACAAAACTATTGAAATTGCCTCAGGTTATATTCGGTTTTCCGGTTGTGTTTAATATGTAGAAGATATTTTACATCAGTATCAGCTCTTATTAATTTCCCTGTTGTTTTACTCTCTTGAATTTTCCATTTAGTTGTGTAAATTCACGTTTTCTGTCCCCATACATTTTCATTATCGCTTTACCCATTTGCATATTCCCTCTCCCACTCTTCCTTGTGTATTTCCTCTCGCCTTTTAAAAATAATAGTTTATGTCTTCAAATTCTCTTCTTGTTAATGATTATTATAACTGAAACCATACAGTGTCCACGCATGGTACTTACTTGATTGTTAATATATAGTCAGCAAAAGAAATAAAGTGGACACTCTTCATTGTTAAGGAATTTCATATAAACCGTCAATAAAATACGATGATATACATATATCAAATTAAACGAAAATCAATATCTACCAACACGTAATCAATTAAGATCAAGATTTGAACTTTAACACTTGGATGGGCAAATTCATCTTACCGTAAGAAAGTCTGATAAAGAAAATTCAAAAAATAGAGCAGACAGCTATTCAAATGTAGATTTTAAAAAAGTGCATCTGTAAGACACTGATTAAGCAATGAAAGCTTAGGATGGAAAACAAAATAGGAAGATTGAGCTCTGGATGTCAGCTGTAGTCTCAGGGCTATATGGTTTTTACAATCACGGTAAAGATGATTCTCCTATCTTTGACTGTACAAGTTGTAAATGCTCATCACCATTTTGAATAGCCAGATGCCCTATTATTGCATTTTCTTTCAAAGACTCAATTATTGTAAAATGGCTATGCTCACTCAATTGGTAATGGTATGATTACAGTTGCATAGCATCTTAAAGGGAATTAATTGTTTTATTTCTATTTATAAAAGATAAGTTTATATTTAACATTCATTTAAAAATCCCAACTCTAAGTAGTGTCCACTAGGTGAATTGCTTCGTTTTTTTTTTATCAAACTTTTAGTATACTTATGTATTGACGTTGCATAATTTTAGTGTGACATTCACATTATGCTATAATTGCTACATTATCGATTTTCTTATTATTTTTTGTTTCTTGTTTTTGTATTTGTTACGTTATGTTTGTTAATCTATTTGTTTTTGTATTTGTAATTGTATCTCTGACCCTGCTTATTATCATTTGATGAGAAATATTCCTCTTCTTCAAGCAGAGGACCAAATCATTTTTCCTGTAACTTCTTTGATTTTTTTCCTCTGAAATAAAGATGATTGATATAATCATATCATTATCATTAACTCAGCTACCAAACTCTTCGCATCGAACCCAAAGGCACAATCCAGAATGACTACGTTCACCACTTAGCCGAGTCAGTGGATGCGAAGGTAATTCTTACCGTCTGTTAATATTGCAATGCGGTAGAGTGCCAGTTTATGTGTTTATAATGATGATGATGATGATGATGATGATGATGATGATGATAACAATGATATTATCGATGATATTATCAATGATAATTACAATAAAGATATTAACCTTGATGTTTTTTATGACGGTTGATGGAGGTTTAAGGTTAGTGGATTTCGACTTTCAATGAAGACACGATCTCTAGTTTTATCTTTAAAAGCTGAACACTTGCCCTATTTTGATCTACCGTTTATATACCTCACCAGGTCATTAAAAGTTCATGATCCTATCTCCCGAATTATATATGAGAAGGTTCTGTGAATGCCAAGTCAGTATTAACGTGGTGCGAAATAATAATAATAACCGTACAGTTGTACAAATGCATTTTTAGGGTGTTGCTCTGTCCTGCTCTAGTGAAGAAATTTTATTAAGAATCCTAAACATTATTTCCTTAAGTATAATTGGTGAAATATCATGAGCCCCAGTCCTAAAAATTGTACCCCCCCCCCCCTTTAACATTACAATGGAAGATCTAAAGTTTGATAAGAGACGTATTTTTTCTTTATTTCTTTTAATTTGATAGAACGAAATGTCCACTTCTACTCTCACTTTACTCTGTTATATTTAGTACGACTTCTGGGCTCACGTTCCCAATGCTTACACCGATGTTATGATGGCACCAAACCTGGTAGGCGGTTTGAAGTATCTCCTAGACTCCAAGAATATCGACTACCATGTCATGGTCGAGGACGTCCAAACCCTCATCGATAACGAGAGCGACGTTCTGCCAACTGCTGGATTCAGTTATGATCAATACAACGATTACGATGCGGTATATATCATAAACTAAACTCATAATCTTTTGTATCTAAAGATACGTGCTTTATGTAAGTGTACATGGACATATCACGGTTGAATAAGCACATATAAATGAATGAAATGGATTATTTTACTAACGTTCATTTCCTGCCTCTGATCAATTCAAGCCTTTCGTCTTATTATTTACTTTACACGATTTAAAGTCATAATTGCCTTGCAATATCAAATGACATTAGTCTGATTTCATTTTCATATCAACAAAATAAATTTGTATATTCATAATGACTTTCAAAATAATGTATTCAAATCAAATCCTACCATAATAGGATTATACAAAAATACAAGCAAAGCAAAAATAGAGGTATACGCTAAACCTCAGCAAAACAAAGACAAATGGTAGAAAAAAATACAAATACTGGACATAATTATGGTCGCATTGCATTCGACAACATCTCAATTATCGCAAAGTGTGAACAGATTTGAAAAAAGGAATATACAGGAATCTGAATAATGCTGCAATTTGCATTCCAAGTTTAAAGAGCATCCACTCCCTCTCTCTCTCTCTCCCCCCCCCCCCCCCTCACGCCAGATACAACAATGGGTGAAAGACATGGCTAGTCAGTTCTCTAGCGCACAGCAGTTCCAAATTGCTACATCTTCAGAGAACCGTGCTATCAACGCGCTCAAGGTATTTATTTTTCATTCACATTTACATTTGAAATTTTTGAAATTTAATCTGTATTCTTTCTGGTATATCATGTTTACTATTTACCATGTAATGCTGTTTTCATGTATATGTATGTCTTTATATGTATTTTTATGTTATGCGGGGCCCCCAAGTATGACAGTAATTTAACTACTGATGGGGCTACCCTGTTTAAATAAAACGAAATAAATAAAATATAAATAAATTAAAAAAATCACATGATTCATACATGTATGTTATATCACGTGTGTGACTTTACTTCGCTTGAATATAAACGAATGGTTTATCCGCTAGCATCATCACTCAGGTCTAGATTCGCTGGTCCATATTTTTTTAGAAGGTTTATTTGGCTCTGTGAACTTCGGCGGTTCTTTTGTGTCAGATTCACGCCGTAAAAAGGTTACGCAGAAGTTCGAAACTAATGATAATAAACCCATCAGAAGGGGTTAAGGGGTTAAGGGGTTATGTATAGGGTAAGCCTAAATCCCCTCAATAATTTTGTGACAAGTTCAATATCACAATAAATAGGCAATTGTCCAACAGAAATAGGACTTTGTTTGGAACAGAAAATCCAATAAATTAGTGAGTACACAATATCAACCTTTTCACAGATTAGCACTGGCTCTGGAAGGAACGTAGTCTACTTCCAAGGCGGTATTCATGCTCGTGAATGGGTTTCTCCAGCTACTCTTATGTATATGACAAACGAGGTTAGTCTACTTTTAAAATTGATTTACTCATTCAGTTGTGCCTTACATCGAAACTGGTTTAGCTTTATGCACTTTACAGAGTTTCGAGATTGTTTACAACTTTTACATAGTATATATTGCGGAGAAGAAAAAAATTGAGTGCGATCTATTATCAAAGGGGAAGTCCACCCCGATATTAAGTTTGTTTTAATAAAAGCAGAAGATTGCGAAGAACAGGTCAGTGAACGTTTGAGCAAATTTCATTTAAAATGAGGAAATTATGATTTTTTTTTGTTGTTGTTGATTTTTTTGATTTTTTGAAGTTGCGATCAATTAAACACAAATTTGCAACACTGTGACGTATCTTGCGAGCTCCCCTCCCATTTGCCCAGTACATACAATTTCATAAACTTTCATTTTCTTCGTTATTGATGACGTAATAGATTTTTTTTTCATTTAAGTGTTGTATAGAAACATATTTGCATTAATTATATATAGGTTGTATGTATGTTCGGAAATTTTCTTGAGGGAAAATACAAATTTCAGATTCAACCTTGGGTTACCAACTTACCAGATACTACAATGTATAAGGTGTCTTGAAGTCGACTAATACTGACCTCAAAAGCAACTCAGTGTGAACAGTTGCCTTCATAGATCTTCGTAAGGCTTTTGATACTGTTGACCATGAGTTACTTCTACATAAACTAGCTTGTATAGGTTGTAGTAATAGGACTATTTATTGGTTCAAATCATATTTAGGGGATCGACAACAAGTGACCCAATTCAAAGGAGCCAAGTCGCATCCATCAACCATCAAATTAGGTGTGCCACAAGGTTCAATTCTTGGTCCCCTTTTATTTTCAATATATGTTAATAGTCTACCTGAATGTACTCCTGAAGGTATCATAGATATGTATGCTGACGATACGACACTTACCGTCAGTGCAAATGATGCAACTGTTGTGGAAGAAAAATTAACTGTTGCGTTAAACAGAGTCATGGCATGGATTAAGGAAAATCGTCTTGTTCTTAACACTGAAAAAACTTGTGTCATGTTAATAGGCTCTCCTGCTAATCTCAAGAAAATTGAATCTTTCACCATTTCATTAAACGGCAATTTGATCAAAAGAGTTCAATTCACCAAATGCTTAGGACTTTTGATAGATGAAGAATTGAAATGGTCTAAACAAATCGAAAACGTAAGTAAACTTACCCAGAAAAACATTAGCATGATAAAGAGAGCAAAGAGTTTTTTGCCTCAAAAATCCTTAAAGTTACTTTATAACAGTCTAGTGTTGCCACGATTAGATTACTGCTCTGTTGTATGGTCGAACCGATTTCATTCTCATACAACTAAGCTGCAAAAAATTCAAAAGAGGGCCGCAAGAATAATATTGAACAAGACATATGACACACCGTCGGCTGATTTGTTCACAAGTCTTAAATGGATGACACTAGACAAGCGGTTTGAGTTAAGTCGCGTTATGATGATATATAAATGCGTTCATAACTTAGCACCCTCTTACCTTCAGGTAGGCTTAATCAATCCTAATGATGTACATGAGCATCATACAAGGCAAATAGACAGTGGATGTTTACGTGTGCCTAGATTTCACACTGATTGTTATAAGTGTAGCCCAATTGTTTCTTCCATATTTGAATGGAATAAGCTAGATAATTCGTTGAGAACGGCTTCCTCTGTCAATTCATTTAAGAGATTGTTTAAACAAAGTTGTAATTTGTGAATGGCTCAGCCGTACATACACTACGTGCATGTTCTGTAATATTTACATGTCTTATTCACATAATTGCGACTTAATTAATATTTTCCTATTGACATTACTGCTTACTAGGTTAATGATATATGTTAATTTTGCAAACGAGTATTATTTTTGTAACTGTTCTGTATAAATGTTATAAACGATGTAAATATGTTCATTCAGGGCCCCATGGAAGACCACTACTTGCTGGTGAATGGGCTACCCTGTCAAAAGATCAGAAATAAATAAATAAATAAATAAAGTGCATGAAATCAAAGCCCATTTTAATATCATTTTCATAATATTTTGGAGGTTGATTATTTACTATTGACGATTGAAACCACTTTGCCAGACATTAGATATAAGGAAAGGATATCTTAAAGTCAACAAATTGACATCAAAGGGCATTAACCTTTTTGTGCTGCCAATAATACCTTCATTCGTAGCTTGAAACCGTCATCTTTCAACATTGAGGGCTGATTCACAATGATTATCACATGTGTATTCTGATAGACTGTATACAGTGCAGCCATATAGTAGCACTGGCTACATACTCCGCTCCGCGCGCTTCACTTGCTCCATTCGCTAATAAGAGCATACACGCGCCGCAAGCAACCCCCCCCCCATACTATACCATGTATTTCACATCGCTCCCTCGTTGCACAGCCAATAAGAGGAAGTGTGAGAGGAGAGAGAAAGAAGAATGGAGGGGGAGTATTGGCTTGAGAATTATACCGACAAAATTCATTTTTGTTTAAAGCTCTTTTCTTCAGCCTTTGAATGAGACTATTCAGAACGTCATTCGTGTAAATATTGATAATAGAATGACACACGCCTAAAAACTAAAACAATAACAACAAAAAACGGTGGCTGTTCTAATAAACAAAAATCCTCCCTGTGATTGTTGAATCATCAAGAGCAATAATTTTGATTTAGACATTGCATTAAAGGTATACTATTGTGGTTATTAAATTGTTTATTCCACTAACATTAATAATAATTTTTAAAAATACGACATCCAGAAGTCCACTCCACAGTTTATGACTGTGCGTTACTACCATACAAAACAACGTAATATCCTGCATGAATTTTTCCAAGTTCAGAAGTCGACTCAGGGTCGGTCGACTTAAGGTCGCCCGACCCCAAGTTAACTTTCAGATGGGTGTTTCCATTGCTGCATGTACATTGTATAAACTTTCATTATGTATATATATATATATATATATATATATATATGTACTTGTTTAATTATATTTGCTGATGTGAGAGGCAATTTGCTAGAGTAATTTATGACTTGGAGCAACTGAAACCTTAAGATGTTGTCTTTTTACATTTGCGAACTCCAATTCAATTGCTCACCACATTCGCTATGAAAGAGATAAATAATTAAATGAAATCAAGAAGATAATTATTCGTTAACATGTTACAACTCTTCACCCCTTGCCGTCAACCGTGGCTAGCTGTTGACAAATCTTGCTAATGGTAATTCGCAAGAAACAAACCTCCTCAAAGAGTTCGACATCTACATCGTGCCGTCACTCAACGTCGATGGATATGTTTACACTCATACCGACGTAAGTATTGAACTATCTTCATGTTCCCAATCGGACTTTTTTTGTTATGGGGGATGTTTAAAAAAAAAAGAATTGATGACAAGCTCGCATTAGCGTAATCCCGGATTCTCTGCATGGAAGGGGAGGGGGCACAACAAAATATATAATGAGCAAAAAATAAAATCAAAGTCCCCCCCCCCCCACCGGAAAAAATGCTCAACGGGTCGTTATGTTTTGGAGGTGCATTTTTGTCCTCCAAAAACAGTTATCTCTTTAAAACGAAATTTGCCTTCTAACAATACTTTTGACAGTGAAAATTGAATAAAAACTATGTAATGATGTTTTAAAAAATTATTTGTAATGCTTTGATTGATCTTTCGATTGACTGATTGCTGTATATGATTTAATTGATTGTCTTTTTTTAATTAATTGATGTCCTTATCTATTTATGGAAAATCTAACGAAGTGATTCATCGTATTATGGAATTATGTAGTCTTTATCTCAGACCCACTGCACACTTCGCGATCTGACTACGATCCCATTCGGGAAGAATTTGTGACAGCATTTTAAATAAACATTCAGACTTGTAAGACTTTAATGACCGAGGATCTGAATATTCATATGATTAATAAAATCTAAATTTCAAAGGATTCCATCCTCCCTAGGAGGGGGGGGGGGGGGGCTAAATCGGCTTAGAATCCCAGTGACGTCAGACCAGTAGTGTGATTGTCTACAATTTGAAGCCGATTCAGCTTTTATTCTGACTAGGAGAGTTGAATAAATTAAAATTCCGGTTGTTTATATTTATAACCTAAATCAGAAGGAAAGTGATTGTTTAGGTTTCCATAACTAATAAAACCACCCCTTTTACGAACATCGAATCGCAGGATAATCGTGTACTGTGCGCCAGGCTTTACTGTTTTGAAGATTATTCTTACATTCTTTCATACTTTAATTCAAATATAGTTTATTTTGCAAATTAAAAATTGACCTATTCATTTTCGTCTTGATTAACTCGGGCTATATTAATTTATGGTAACAAATTTCCCATTAGATTCAACTTATTAATATGTTTTGACACCAAAATGTTATCAAATCATCAGGGTCCCTATAAGTTTTGTTATCCTTCTGCTGATTCTACTTATCGATAGTGACGTACTGATGGTGCCTGGTGGATCTATGTCACGTTTAAAGAACATAATAATACATGCACTGCATGAATAAAATAATGTGTAAGACCGCATGAACACTTCGTCTTTCAAACGATCAAATGGCTCAATTATTTGATTATCACCCCCTAAAGATTAAACAAAATCACGGAAGTCGTGACCTCTTTGGATTTAAGAGTACCACTGTTTGGTGCAACAAAAAAACTTTTTAGTTGTTGATTCGTTTTAAGGAACTAGTCAAGTGAAAATTAAAGTGTACACCCACCTTAATTTAAAGGATCGATGCTTATGCATTACCACGTGAGATGCACCATCTACTGTTGCTTGATAAGATGCAGGGTTTCAAATGAAAGGTCAGCGTTTAAAAATGGCTATATTTTGCGTCTGCAAAAGTGGAACTTAGGAAGACAGCCTATCCGTTTTTAATAATACACAACTAACGTAAGGTGAAAATTATTCAAAGTCATTCTCTTCCTATTGGGCAAAACATTTCAATTCTTACTTGCTCATCCCCCCCCCCCCCCCACACACACACGCGCCCACCATCTCCTTATTTCTCCTTACTTTAGTATCTCCCCGACGGCCCAACTAACATGTTATATTCCTTTCCATCTTTATACAGAACCGAATGTGGAGGAAGACACGAAGCAACAACGTTGGCTCTGTATGCATGGGTGTGGACCCCAACCGCAATTACCAATACAAGTGGAACGGTAATTATCATTATTTCTTTTGTACACATAATAGCTTTTCTCAATTGTGCGGGAGGACAAAATTGCCATGCAAAACTGATGAACATGACTATTTAGATTATAACAATAGTAGGCCTAAGTTTTTAAAACGATGATTAAAACTAAGTAACAAGATAAGAATTATTTTACGGTTAAATATCATGAAATAAATTTCAGCAGAGGAGCCCATATAAGTAGGATGTATGTATGAGTTACACTCCCATTCAGGATTTTGTCTTTGACTAAAATAGAATTTTGGTAAATTTGTCGGAACATCACCAACATTGATGATTTTGTTTTTCATTTGTTGGATGAGAAGTTTTGAACTTCTGTCGCTAAACTTCAAAATCTGGAGACCGGGTGTGAATATCAGAATGTTGACAAATCTGTTGGCAAATTTGGTCTGACATCCCGATTCGAAATGCTATCGGCCAAACTCCTATCTATTTGATAAAAATATTGCTTTTAATACTGCTACAGGTTTCAAGAGCCCATCGATTATAATTCTTTGAAAGTCTTTCTAGTAATGTTTCGAATATAAGGGCATTTGAAGAGCAATATTTTTAAGGAGCGATTCCTATTATAATACTCTTCCACAAGAATGACAAATAATTATGATAGAGCGCATATTTTTCACAACTATCACAATAATTCGTCTTTCTCTTAGACCTAATTTAGATATAAGTACAGTCAGGTATCTTTGTTTTGAGCTAACCTAGAGGTTTACTTTAAAAAGTTTTTTTTTTCTTGTCATTGATGCAGGGGGATCTGGATCCAGTGGGAGTGCGTGCTCCGATACATATCGAGGAACAAACTACAATACTGAACCGGAAGTCTCCCAGACTACTGAGTTTCTGTTGAATCTCAAGAACCAGGGCAACACAATTTCATTGTTTATCGACTTCCACTCCTACTCCCAGCTGTGGCTTTCTCCGTGGTCTTATCGAGCAACCAAACCATCACAATATGCGGACCAAGTAAGCTGCTTTCTTTTTCCATCATGATTTGTGACCCTTGATTGAATCAAATATTGTTTTTATGTAATTTGTCTGGGTGAGGGACAGAGATTGGAGCCGGGTATTGTTATTACTATTATTTTATTAGGGATATTATGTCTTGTTTACCAACGGTAGCCTCGGAAGTATTAAAACTGTTCTTCCAGAGGACCCTGCCGTTATTACTACTGTAGTTTTAGCTGAGTTACCCCGGGAATATATCATGTGTATTTGGGCAAAATACGATCGGAATGCAATTTTTCGCAGTCGATGGTCAAGACCGATTTTGATCAAAGATGATTTTGTCATTTAAATTGTATGCTCTTTCAAATTTGACACTCAGTTTTTCATTATCTCACAACGAAATACATATTTTATCGCCCTCTATATCAATACTCAAATATCCCTTTAACAGAGCTAACAGATCAACACAAATAACACAAAATGTGTTAAATGATACACGTATTAATAGCAAAGACGAGCGCTGTTGAATCTGAAATGCTAGAGCGCCGTTTGGTAGCCGTGCTAAAGCCAGGGTAATAATCGGGAGCGCCAGGAGGGTCAAATCTGACTGACATGAGCGCTATACAAGAACCCACTATTATTATTATTATTATTATTATTATTATTATTTATCAAAAAATCATACCCAAATATTTTTAAACCTATTGATATACCCATCAAATCAAAGACCTTTCAAAGCTCTTTTGTTTGTTTATCGTAGTATTTCCAGATTTTTTATAGTCATGAATTTCAGCAAGTGAACATTTTCCGTGGAATTGCTTCGATACAACTTATAAAAGCTAGTTGATACCATTCGACTGTTTTTCTTCCCAACTTCTCTCATTATTTATTGTCGAACTTAACATTTCAAGATATTTTATTCAAAAAGTTTGCTTTAATATATGTTTGTAATGAATAGGTCGAAGGTGCCAAACAAGCATGTGCTGCTCTGCAGAGTGTGCATGGGACTAGCTACACATACGGACCTTCAGCACAGACACTTTGTAAGTTGCTCTTCAGCCCTATCAAACCAAACATAGTTTAAGTTTGTTAAAGTTTAAGAAGTCCCTAACCTAGGGGAAGACCCCTCCCACACCTCCCTACTTGTTGGTCGCTCGACTCCTTCACCCATCTCAATACTAACGCAATAATGAAACTACTACCATTAATCTGGATTTATATTGCACAGTGTCATTGGTTTGGTGTTATTGGGTAGAAAAAAATCTTCCTAGATCATCAATTTTGGGTTAGCCATTTTTTTTTTTTTTTTTTTTGTGAGCCAAAAACTAGATCAGTCATTGAAGATTGAACGGGAAGGCGCCATGCGCAAATTTCTCACTTCTTCAAGCATCACTACAGTTGCAAAAGAAGCAAGAGAACGAAATTGCCTCACACAAACAGCCGTAGAATAAAAACGCCTTTTCCAAAATTTTACTCGGAAGAGAATTTGATACCTTATTAAAATGTCGTTTCAATAGCAGATCTTAAGTGTTGCTTTGGTTTTGGGCCACACTATATAACATTATTCGGAATAAACAACGCTTTCAAAATGTCTGTGACAACTACCACCTTGACAATTACCCCCCCCCCCCCCCCAAGGAAAATTGAAAGGTTACCCCCTAGCTACAAAAGGAAGGGGGCCGCAGTGCCCCCACATTTTCATGTACCCCAAAAGTGTCCTTTTTTCTGTCCTTTCACTTCTGATAAGCGCTTGTTTCCTCTTCTGATAAATGTCCTTCACCTCAAAGTTCTCTTTTCAAATCTGACTAGTGCTTTTTGTAGTAATTGTTTCAAGTTTCAAGTTAAGTTAATTTATTTCCACTTCATCGAAAATAACATAATTGAACAAAGTATACATACTAATTATTATAATTTATCATACAATAAAGGAACAAAATGTAGTTGGTGATAGTTATAACAAAAGATACAATCAAAAGTAAAATACTTACAATGAAAAAGCTAAATAAAGTCGGGGATCTACTAAAAATCAAAGCTGGTATCATGAAGATCCCAATTAATGCAGTTATGTATACAAATTATGATATCTATCTAAATAAACAAAAGGTAAGTGTCCGTTTCTTCTTTTGAAAAATTGCCTTTCTACATCGATTGCCGCTTTCAAATCTGATAAGTACTCTGATTTTCACTTCTGATAAGTGCCTTTATCCCCTGAAGAAAAATAAATTATCGGGTAGTTCACAAAGAAGAGGTATTTGTCTGGGGTTATTGTCATCGGTGTTTGGGAGGGGGGGGGGGGGGGTTAATTGACGCGTTGTCCATGGAACATATGTCATACATGTAGTCCTATATGGATTTAGATTATTCATTTTGATGTGGAGCCCGGGAAAACAATAACTCAGTTTTTGAAATTGTATGTGAGGTTTAAAATTAGAACCTTTAAACATTTCATAACTGATAGTTTTCATTCTTTCATGTTTGTACGTAATGAGTAACTGAAACCCTGAAACTTATCCCGATCTGGACATGTCTTCAAGCTCCCTCCCCCTTAAATATGACACTGGAAGGCTCCGTTAAAGGGAACCAAAACCTTCATACTAAGTTACTTTTATTGTAAAGTTTAAAAGATTTGAATAAAATCAGTGAAAATTTGAACAAAATCGGGCAAGGAATAAGGAAGTTAGAGCTTTTGGAAATGACTAGTCACGAGAGGGCGGTATTTAATTTGATGACATCATCTGTGGACAATTCTCCATGCCTTTTGTACATAAAATTTCAATATTTTTTCGTTTTTTTTCGTATTTATTTGTGTTCTTGATCCGACTTCATAACATGTGAAGTAGAATATCATTTTGCATTCTATATCTTGCTTTCAGGGGAGTAGATTATCTCAATCACAAGAAAGAAGGAAAAACATGAAATTTGATGTACAAAAGGCATGGAGAGTTGTCCACAGATGATGTCATCAAATTGAATACCGCCCTCTAGTGACTAGTCATTTAAAAAAGCTTTAACTTTCTTATTCCTTGCCCGATTTTGTTCAAATTTTCACTCATATTTTTCAAATATCTTAAACTTTACAATAAAAGTAACTTAGTATGAAAGTTTTGGTTCCCTTTAAGAAACTGTGCAGCTATGGTCGGCTTTACCCGACAGTTTAGCAGAAGCCAGCGGGCATTAGCCACTGATTATCACTTATAGGTGGATCTTAGATGGGGCATAAGATGCTCTGACGTCACTATCTGAGAAGCGAAACAAGAACAACATCATTGACAACTATAAAGGCTGTAAAAAAAAGGGTTATCAAATATTCTCGGGGATGGGGCACGTCTCCCTGGCTGTATCAATGATCATTATTATATCGTAATTATGATCATGATTGTAGATGCTGCTGATGGTTGCAGTGTTGACTGGGGTCATGGTACATTGGGAGCCAAGTACTCCTACGTGGTGGAGCTGAGGGATACAGGAAGGTACGGCTTCCAGCTTCCCGAGAGCCAGATCATCCCCACTGGTGAGGAGACATATGCAGGAGTCATGGCCCTTCTCGAGTACGTCAAAGCCAACTAAAGTATTTGATTTCCTTCCCGACATTCATCGTATGATTCCTGATTGATTCGAAGCATGAAATGAAATCAAAGTTCATGAACCTAATATTAACCTTATGAACATCTAAAATTCATATAATGTTAAGTAGCTTATATGTTAACCATTTGACATTCATTTTGAACATAGAAAAACTCTTCTTTCTTTTTGAAATCCAAACCCAGTTTACGAATTGTGATGTAGACATACTGAAATAAGACTAGCAATGAAAAAGAAATCCACGATTGACGGTTCGTCTGAAGGAATCTACTTCGTGATTTACATGTCTGTAAACTTGGTTCTAAGTTAATGGTTAACTAGGAGGGACCAAGTGGATCGTATCCTTCAGTATCTATGTCCAAACACTTGTTATAGATACTATAAAAGCAATAGATTGTGATGAAACAATTAATGAAACACAAATGTTTATGTCATATGCTTCATGCGGTTTATACTGTGCATATTGTAAAACACGAATAAATACAATAAAAATATATCTGCATCACTACTGTAGTTAAATTTCATTTCATTCTACCTGTTGTGATATGTGGAATATTGGATTCTAGTAGAGACGAAATAAATGCAAAAGACATTGTTATATAATTCCCACAGACTTTTAATCATAAGTAATTCTAATTTACCACCAACTGATGAGTACGGTGAAAAGCATTCGAAACCGCACATATCAGGTAGAAAGAAAATATACCACAAACCCAAAATGCCAATTTAACAATACAATACGGATCTCAAATTGATAGATGATATCACCGGATCACGGAACCCATGAATACCTATGACCAAAACTCGACCCCCTTTAAAATAATAATTAATAGTAATCATCATCATCATAACAACAATGATAATAATTATAATAATTGTAATAGTTATTATGAAGATACAAATAATAATAACAATAGCAAGTTTATCATGAGCCTTGAAAGTGGACAAAATTGGCCACAGGTAAAAATGTAAATGCACCTGTATATAGAGTAATCGTGCTGGCTTCTCACCATACCATATTCAAGGGGGTATTTTGATGGTTAGGGCCGGAATGATATTCAGATAATGTAAGCACTGCTTTTCACGTGGAGATGGGATTGGCTTGTCCTAGAGGTCATAGCAGAAGTGGTTTACTCCACTGGACGTGAAACTGTATCAATTCCTGATGATTTAGGTATGAACTTCATCCAACATGTCCAAGAGGTTCTCCCTCACATATAGGCTTATGAACCAGGCAAGACAACTATGCTTCTCCAGAGATGTTTCTGCCATGGATGATAAATCGATAAGTGGTCATATGCGATCGAAAATATTCCAAGAAATTGAACCTGAACATGATTTTATAACCAAATATGATAAATAAACACCCTTTCTTGCTTGTTTTTCAATCCTTTACCCACCTTCTCAGTTGATTCAAGTGGATTTTGACCAAGTTACCTAAATTGACCTGTGTGTAGCCAATCATGAAATCTCATCTCATAAATATGGTACCAAAAAGGCAAGGATATAAAATTATACTCTACAAGTGCATGGCACGTACATCCATATGCATACGACCAACTCGTAAAACAAAGGGCAATCGTAGAAGTATGAAGTTTCTTTACTATTTCACAATATCCAAATAAAGGTATTTAATATTGGAGGGTTGTTATTCCAACTTTATTTAACAATTAACATTTTCGTGAACATTAAAAAGGAACTCCTTTGCCATATAGTAAGTTAAACAGACAGACTGCCAAAGTAACAACATCAACTAAATAAAAAGAAAATTACTATGTACCTCCATGTCAATTAAAGATAAACTTGAGTTCTGGTAAATATAGAAAATACATCCTTACAGAATCCAATGAAACTGACACTGAATGTTCAAGATTAAAAATAAATGACGAGTGCCGAACAATTTTGGTAGAAAATGTTTAGTGGCTAGGAAATGAGCATGGAAAGTTAAGGAAATCTGGGTAAGTAGGCCCGACACGTGCTTAACACAGGTCACTATGTGCAAATGGGAGATGTGGTTTTTATCGAAGATAATGCCCTTTAGGTAAGTTTTTGTGCGTTTGTATTAATTTCACTGTTCCAAACAACCACTCTACTGCAGGATAAACAAATCAAGAATAAATCATAGCAATTTTCTGTCAAAATAGGATTCCCATACCAGAGCTCAAGATTGGCTCGAAAATAACAAACATAATATATGTAAAGATCGTTTTTCTTTCCCTTAAAGCTGCCCAGTATCATGAATATCATATGTCACAGTCATGTCAGTGGACTAAGAATTCTCATACATCACACGACTGCTAAAGAAATCAATCAGTGCACGGATTCTGAGGACAAAGGTACTCTCTACCGAACTCATACGCCGCTCCATAGAATATCTGATCTTCAATTACACTAAAACCCCTAAATCCAAGTTTCTTGATAACTACCCGTATGGTGGCCACATACGTCTCTACCAAGTTGTACTGGAAGCCTGATTCCACTGGACCACGTAGACACTTCTGAAAGGTCTCTACCGGAGCACTCATTGTTAACTCCACGGTGTGAAGTAGACTGTAGATGTTCACTGTAGCCTTACCCTCACAAGGACGCCGGTCCTGAGTAGTAAACGAGTTGTCTGGCCTGAAATCAAGACGAAGATTTCGCGCAAAATTTCTGTAGCCGAAGAGATGGGCAGGGCCTCTGATAACCGGATTAAAGGACACGACTCCAAAGGTTCCCGCGAATGTTGCGTTTGCGGTACGATTGTATGCTTGGGTCCACATCCAACCTGCCGGGAATCCCTGTCCCCAGTTCTTCTCCTGATGAGCATGAGCCTTGCCTGATATGACTCGTCCTGATTGGTTCCATGTATAGCTTCCTGGGGTCCCAAGGCTGTAGACGAACCAATGGATGGGTAACATCGGCAGGTCAGTAAGCCAGCCTTCTGGACCTAAACATACACAAAATACAAAATGAGATTTCCTACTATGGATGCGGCCTAAAGAGCAGCATGAGGGGGCGGGTATTGATTATTTTTGTTTTGTTTCATTTTATCCCGCCCTCCACCCCCCTCCACCCACTTAGTGTTATTTAGGGTACGCCTATGCGTGTTCCCAGCACCCCCCCTCCTTTCAGCATAAGTCCGGTGTGTAAAGTCAATACGGGTAGACCTTTTTCTTTTGTTACGAGCCGGAGATGTTGGGAACACGCATGCGGTCCCTCCGTTCCCGGAGTGAGGGCCGGGCATTTCATTCAATTTTTCGTCTTAATTTTTGCCATTACAAGAAGTGGGTTATTGATGTAGACAAAATAATGCTCATGTGTACCCTTCACAGCTCATTTTATGTATGTTATTACCAGAGAACAAAAGATGTCAGTCAGTCCCTCAATAGTGACTGACAGGGAAGTCTAGAAAGTCAACAGGTTTCCTTGCATAATATGAATACTACATGTAGGACATTACTAACGTTTGGATTTCACAGATAGGACATACGTGACATATTCATAATTACTGCAAAGTTCTACATAATTTGATATTGGCTGCAAAAGGGACAAAGTATCTTTAACCAAAGTGATATTTTTTTCTCGCTCGCTCGCAATATTTCAAATCAGAATAGAACATTTTCTGGCAAAAGGCCCTCACGGCCCACACACGAAAATGTGTCCGTACGTCTATAGGAGGGATTGAAAACAAAACCTTTTTGCTGAATTTTGGATTGGGATGATGCGAAAATTTTCAACTTCTAAAAGGGTACCGTGACTAAAAAATGGGTTTGACAAACGCTGATCTAGTAGACCAAAGACTGGTCTCCCATGACGGAACCCACGCTGCGCCACTGGGTAATAATAATATACTGCAAGATTATTGTCATGTTATGTACGTGTTGTTGTTTTTTGGTGTAGAATGGTATGTACATTTTGAATATTGTTTTTTTGTATATTGTTTTGGATGAAAAAGAAAATTTAGTTTTGCCTTGTAATTGATTAACATCTGAATGATTAATTTGTTTTAATTTTGTTTTGATTTGTTCTACTGCTGTTTTGAGAAATAAACAACTTCATGGAACAAACAAAAAGTAATACAACTCTCAATCCCTCTACTTGTTGTGTCATATTCGGTTATCAAAAAAATACACTTGTATAATAATTGTTTCTTACATTGAAGTAACTATATTACATTTGTAAATTTCAGAATAAATCTCCCAATTTTCAAGGCTTTAAAGTTCCTATGTCAACAAGGAAAGCGAATATCGGGTGGCAAAAAGGAATTGTAAACTAACTATACATTTTCGTGAATGTAGTTTTCACTTGCAATAACTTATAGTTGAAACCGCTTTAGTCTTTATTTGTATCCATGTTATGTGCTGCATTTTCATTATTTTATTTTTTCAAATCTTTTTCCTTAATTTTTAAAAAATCTTATCATATCACGATTCTCCTGTTATTTCCTTGCTTTAAAAAAAAAAAAAAAAATCACGAAAAGATAACCAATTAGCCGAATCTGTGAAAGCTCACCTTGCCCAGTCGAATCCCACAGTAGAGGTCTGGTAAAGTTTCCTGCAAACGTCACCCCATCAATGGTGAAACTAAAAACAGTCGAGTTAGGAGTTACGTTGTAGAATCCATACGGACGTACAACGTACTCGAAGTAAGATGGTGCCTGCAGAGAGGGGTCTTTGTTTATCGGTCGACCACCACGCACCGTAACCTCGATGTCGTCTTCATCAGGGTAAGCCTGGACGACGACCATGGGTGACCCTTGACCTTTGCTGCACACCAGACTGATGTAGGTAGTCGGGTTCGAGTCCCATGTTGATGTCGATGTTGATGTCGACTGGCTGTTTCTCGGGAGTACACGACCAAAGAGGACACCAAATGATCTGTCGTTGTCTGTATCTGTTAGTCTGGTGTACCAACCCTCAAAGAAAGGCCCTGTCGGTGGGTAAAGATGAGGGTCATACTGGCTGGCATCATTGATCACCACGACACACAGTATTAAGACTAAGAAATACATCGCTGGTCACACTGTATCTCTTATAGATAAAGAACGATTTGTGGTAATATAGTCAACTCGTCTCTCAAATTCTACAGTTGTATAACACACAATGGATGAGCGTACAACGTTTATAAGTCCTTAACTGTGTGAAAGCAGGGGATGTTGCGCAACATCGCTAATCTTGTTTATGCAACAGTATATTTTCGTTATTGACCTTGTTGCGTCGTCGGTGATCTCACTATGAATATGACTGACAAAGAAAGCGGACAAAATATACAGTTCCTCAGGTAGACAAAGGAACATCCCTTCACTGCTATTTTGTAAAAATGTGTAGAACAGGTGTCACATGCATATTCACCTTTTTACATAATATCAGTGAAGGGATATTCCTTCGTCTACCTGTGGAAATGTATATTTTGTCCGCTTTATGTGTCCGTCATATTCATGGTGTCTTGACAGTGTTATGCAAATGAACACTGACAAATTACGTAAGCGATATATTTCCGTTGTGTAGTATTTTGGTACCACGAGTAGTGAAATGCCGTTTGGTCTACAGCCAGCTCGTCTATTCTCTATGTGGTATAATACAAATCATTTCGCCTGATTGTCATTTGGTCTAATAAAAATTTAGGCCAAGCCCTTTGGTCTATTGTTCATCAAAGTCTAATGACCAGTTTTTAAAGCTTCAAATCAAAGGTATAATCATTCAATCAAAAGTAATACAAATCATAGACTTTGTGAATAGTATTAGTAGACGAAATGGGTATAGGACGAAATGGGAATTAGAATGACTGAACAATTGACTAAATGAGCAATAGACGAAATGGGTATTAGACTTATTGGAGATTAGATGAAATGAAAATTAGACCAAATGACTATATTGACCCAAAAGGTCATTAAACGAAATGATTATTAGACCATGTGGTTGGTAGACTGACTGTGTGTAGACCATATGGGAATATACCAATTAGGTAGTAGACGAAGTGGTTGTTGACCAAAAGGCTATAAACCACCACGAGATAGCCATGCTTATAAAGGTCAACAATGACCTTGCGCTGATGTCAATCATCCCAGGGAGGTGTGACTATACAATCATCCATGATTTGAAAGGTAAACTTTAAAGTCCAACTTCATCATGCTAAGTAATTGCTAACACCCTGATCTTAACACACACCACGAAAACATGGTAAAGTGTAAACCTTTAATCAAACATCTCGTTCAGGTCTGACCATCCCTTCATGCAACCCTCTAATGCACTTCAACTTCGATTTCTATCATATTGGTTTAACCCTCAGCCCCCCTCCCCAACTCCGGGAACGGAAGGACCGCATTCATGTTCCCCAAATCCGGTAAAGGGGTACTTTTCACTCAACAAAGTCCGGCTCGTGTTACACAACAAATCGGCCCATTTTTGACTTTACACACCGAACTTTAGGGGGTGTTTTCAAAGGGAGGGAACATGCATACGCGTACCCTAAATAACACTGAGTGAGGGGGTGGGGCGGGCCGGGCCCTCAGCCCGTTAAAGGAAATCTCACTCTAAAGAAAAAGTGTAGGGAAAATGAGATTTATTCCTGCCTAATGATAAACAATATTCCTTTCGAAATTGTACAAGAGATTTATAAATGCAACTATAGCATGATGTACAAGTAATGCATTTTAGCATGACATAGGCCCATTCGTTGTCTTGATAATGTGACGTACCAGGCAGCTTTGGACGTATTATGCACCAAGCTCTAGTTGGAAATACTTTTTAATTTGATAACAAAACCTTAACATTTCAAGTGCTGGGAATTCATAGCTAAGAAGGTATTAAGAGGGAAACAATTTTCACTCATTTATTTAAAAATACTAAAATATAGCAGTTGACAAATCTAGTTCATGCGAAACCTTTACCCTGGTGAACCAAACAGGGTCAGCACCTAAATTGTTAGCCAATTTTTTAGTTATTGATCATAAAAAGCAAAAAAAAACAGGCGTGAATTAATGATTATTAATTATGTGCTATAACAGAAATACTCAAAAAGTAGACAAATTGATTTATTTGTGGAAAAATCACTAAATGTTAAGAAAAGTTTAGAAATCAATTTCAAATGAATACTATTTAACACAGGCTCTAACCCCAACATTTTCACGTTTGTAATGAAAAATAAATAATGGGTCACAAACATGTAACTACAGTGTTTATTAAGTACTTGTATTTAAAAAAAAAGAATAGATCACGAATATAACTACTCAATTAATTAAGCTGCTTTAACATTGATTAAAGTAATTTTCTTCATTGTGTTATGACGAGGCTAACTGAGAACCATAGGCACACTCCCTTATAAGTAAATTCGTTGAAACTCCTGTGGTTCAGAAATTAGTAGGAGTTACTCAGGAATTTCTTTTCTTTCTTGTTTTCCCCATTTTTCTTTCCCCTTTTTCTTTTTTGCTGTGTTTATTTCACCATGATTACAAATTGACTAGAAAACCAACATTGCCTCTTACCATTAACCAATCGGAACCATGATTACCCTTTAGCCCTCCCCCCCCCCCCCCGCCACTACGGGGTCAGAATGACCGCATGCGTGTTACCGAAATGTCCGGTAAAGGGGTACTTTTCACGCACCAACGTCCGGCTCGTACATTCACAAAATTGACTTTACACACCGGACTTAGGGGGGGGGGGGTTCAAAAGGAGGGAACACGCATATGCGTACCCTAAATAACACTGAGTGAGGGGGCCGGGCCCATTAGGCACATCATACAAAAGGTGTTCATCAATATATCAATACACTTTTACTAATATAAATTTTAACGTTTAAAACATCTTCGGTACGGGTATTCCCCGCGACGGGGAAGCCCCACACGAAAACTCGATCCATCTGTTCACACGCGCACGGCCTAGAAGTGCAAAAGGCTTCATCCCTCTATTTCACCTTTTTCGAACAGCGCCACCTGTATAGTTCGGCAGCTCTTACAGAACATTACGGATGTTTAATTTATTGTATATTAAAAAAAAACAAGTATCAGCTTTATATTTGATGAAAACTAATTTCTTTTCTGACCTTACCGAACAGTCAACCTAAAATGTACATGTTCTTCTGAGTAAAGATTCTACAGTGCTAGCTGATGAAAAGATTCTGCGTGCGTTTCACGCGAGTTGATAGCAGACGACCATTATACAGACGGGCAGGAAAAGTTAGTTCAGTCAGAGCGCGCGTTCACCAGGAAAGTACTTGGCGCGATGACCACTAGGAGAAGAGAGTTCATAGAGCAGACGACGTCCTGAGACAGTACTTTATCGAGAACGCACTTTGTTAGAAGCAGAAACCCGACAATGTACAACTAGAATTGAACTTCAAATAATTGAAGTCCCCATCTTCACGGGAACTTGGAAAGAACAATTTGAGCCGGAGAACAAAAGTGGAAGAATCTTTGTTGTCGTGATTTTCATGTCACGACTGCGAGCAGGAATCTACTTTTTAAATAACTTACTAAAAAGTGATGCCGTGGAAGCATTGTAGCGGACGTGTAGGGGCGAGATCCCGGCGAAGCCCAGGGGTGTGTTTCATGATGAAGGGTATACACCTTACATGGATTGTACTTCTGATGCAGATTGTGCTAGCTTCATGTCAAGTCTCCTACTCGGGAGCATATCCAAGAAGTCGCACCAGGTAAGCTACTACCTTGTTTCAAAATCATAAATGACAAATTCACAATTTTACTGAACAACGGATGGTGAAATGGCACATGTTGTGCTATATGTCATTATGTTGATTATACTAAGTCATGGTAATAAATGTCATGAAATCAATAATAATTTGATATAGGCCAATGTATTTTCAACTCGATCGAATATGCCATGATCAAACTTTAAAAACCCATCAAGGGGAATTATAGCATAGACAGTATGATATACTATGTAATTGATTGATATCAATGTTATGCTATCTTTACATGATTACATAATGGTTCAGTAGACCGACATCCCACCGGACCGTCGGCATATCGGTCTAGTGGGTCGTCAGACCACTGAACCCTCTGAAAAAAGATAGATTAAGACACAAGAACCTGGACTTATTCGACCTCATGGGCTGTCGTTATCGTGGTCCATCAGAAACTTAATAAGTTGACAGTCTCATTGGACCGACATTGATTGTTCGTATGTTAGCCCAATGATCTGGCTGCTTACTTACAAGCATTTATGCATTCTTAGCAGTCAGGTAAAATAACCACCATCACCAATGATCGGTCTCGTAGGCTGTAGTAGAGTTCTTCGTTGTTGGTCTCGTGTGTCATGGGTCTCTCTAAACTAAAAGATTTTGCACTTATTCATATGTGCGTATAGTGTTGGCAACAGATTAACCTCTAATTATTCTTGTTATGAATGAATACTTGATTCAAAATGACCAGAATGCTTTGCAAATATAATAAATTAAACGTTTTTAAAAGGTTAGTAAGATGAGACATGGAGCTGTTTGTAATTTTGCTATGTATAATGGAAGATGGTCAGTGATGGTCTTCCCTACTTAGAAATATTTTGAGTCAGACAACTCAAACTCCTGACTGATGAGGGTCAAATTCTAGCCTTGAGGAAGGCTCCTGCATGTCAAGTTGGAAGCCATCTTAGTTTCTCAGCAGCTCTGTATACCCTGCTATTATGATAAGAGTTCGAGACGCCTTGGTAGACGATGTTAAGATCCTCGAGGAATTTCGAGGTAATCTTATTGTTTGGACGGTGAAAGTAGAGTTGGGTTAGGGATTTTTTCATATCATCCTCCTTGCTCCTCCGTCGTCTTCTTATCTCAGGGTTATTCTGACTGTCATTGGCTGTATTATTATGATTGTCATCATCACAACGATAGTTATCTTCTGAGCCCCGTCTTATAAAAGGGTTGCGATTGATTACAAATAATTTGCAATTGACACCAATCTCATCTCATATTTTTTTTTATTGCAATCGATATTCATTTCAAACTATTTTGAACTAATCACAACTCTTTTTTACAAGACGGGGCACTCGAATGTGTCCTTGATCTCATTATTTAGATTATATTACAAGAATGTGGCATGCGAACTGCAAACAAAAACATGAATGTTTAAAGTGAGATACCCTCTTTGCATTCTTGGAGCGACACCCTGCTGAGAGCCTGTCTATGATGCTAGAGGAAGATCTTGTATTTGTAACTTCATTATACATGTGCGTTTTTGTTAAAATATATTTTTTTATAAATTAAGTAAAGAGACTAAAGAGATTAAGCATTTTGATGAAGTCATACAATCATGGCAAAAATATTAATTGCAAATGTGGAGTAAAAAGCAATAACACTTAACCTTGCTACATTGATTTCGTTGGAACCGTGCTGTATGTGTCATGTCGGGTTTAAAACGTTATAACTTCATATGTTGTTTAACTTCATTCTCGCTAAATTTTTCGGTTAAACATTATAAAGTTCTTGACAAAGTTGATTATTAGGGTAACTATAAGCGTGTTTTTGTATTGATTGGAAGAGAACATACAATCAAATGAGCATTCTGTTACAAAATGGTTTTTTCTTTAAAATGTGTAATACAATTATCATTTTCGACCATTATCGCATGGATTAAGTTATCACATCAACCCTCCCAGTCGGTGGATAGGTTACTCAGTTCATCACGTTACTATCATCACTGACGTACGAACATTAGCTTCAGGTGATGTTGTATGGAAGCCAGCCAAACTTTTCTCCAATCTGATTCCAAAATTTGACTCGGAAATCCATGAAATGACAGTTTATCTCATTACATCCGGACTCATAAATAGCATATCGAGCGATCATTACTTCTCATGATTGTAAGCGAGATGATGGGAGAGGATGGCTTCATACGATGTTGAGTAATTATCACTGTTAACGCCGCAAAAAAATGTTTCAACCGTATCGGGAAAGGAGAGGGTTTCTTTATACAGAATAGCCGTACAGTCTGAGTCACAAAATCCAGAAAAACATGTACATAATGATATATATATTAAAGAATCATATTTAATTCTATCCCAACCTCTTGGGATAAAGTAAGCACTACCCAAGGATAAGTATTAAAACAGTAGTACAATTAACGCGATGACTAAAACTATATTTAAAACAAAATTTCCGAAGCCCCGTAAAGCACTTATTGACAGGTGTTACAATAACATATTGGATTATCCAACCATCATTTTCTAGCCAATACAGGAGGCTATTGCATTTGGACTTTAGTTAATTTCCTGAAAGTCTTTACAATCTTGTTCATTCCGAATGTCGTGTTTTATGGGCTTTGTAGTCTGTATCGTGTTTTTATATTTTATGAAAATTGTTACTACAAGTGATTACGTTCACGATGGTTAATTATTAATTCGTGGAGATGGGAACATAAATAAAAAAAAAATCGTGGAGATGGGGGGAAAGGGAACCTGGTTATTTGATCTAGATGATATGAAGCCTGATTTATATTACTTCTCCTAAAATGTATTATTAGCACCAAACTATAGGCATATTTAAAAAAAAAGAACACACATTGATAATAGCATGAGCTCAGCCATGAGAGGGGGGGGGGGGCACTGGTGTTATGTGTAAAGGGGGATGTTCTTACTATCTGGGCCATTATTATTTTTTTTTGGAGGGGGGATGTGTGGGAGGGCCTCGTTCCTTTCATTCGCGTCCCCCCTCTCCCCCTCTACCCATCCCCTTGACTCTTTCTCTCTTTCTCTCCCCATCTCTCTATCCCCCTTTTTCACAATTCAATGGGGGGGGGGGGGTAAGTGCCAATGGTGCCAACAACCCTTCTACCCCCTCCCCCACTCCCCCGCCTCCGTTAGTAGGCCCTGTTCTGTAGACACTGATAACTGACATGTTTTAAAGCTCTTTAATGATCGAATTGTAAACAAAACTGCCGCACGCGACGTCGGTCGAGATCACCACAAAGTATGAGAATAGGAAGACACTGTCTGTCCTCAGAGTAAATAAATGAGAGACACAGGAAAGATAATGTCATGCAATCTGATAGAATGACAGGATGAGCCGATGAGCTATGATTGGTGTACCACCGGCCAGTCGCAACATTTCAGTTCAATTCCAGAGGGGGGGGGGGGGGGGTATTTGTTCCGAAAGAAAAATGGCACTTGGGAAGATTTATTGTTCAAATTTGTTTTTTCTTATTTTGTTTCTTGCTCGCTTATTTGTCTGATTTTTTTTTCAATTTTGGTTTTGGCTTTGTCCAAAGGTTTTATATAAACCTTGCAGTGAAATTTGAAATGATAATTTTACTTTTTCAATTGACAGTATGACATTCTTCTATCTGACAGGGAGGTAATACCGTTTCATGAACATGATACATTACAAGACATGAACAGGTGCATTCAAGTTGTCCTTGTTCATGTCACCACGTGCCTTGTTCATCTACTCAATAGCCTTGTGTTATTATACATCCATTCGCATGGCCTAATTACGTTTACATAGCGCAGATTGGCCCGAGGCAGGTGTTACAATCTGACATGAAATTAGTTATGGTGGAATTAATATAACTCTGAAGCGTGTCAAGTTCTGCGTTGTTGCAACCCGTACCCCCTTTCCCTCTTGCCCCACAAGTTTTCAATTATTATTATGATAGGGTGAAGGTTGTTGGATGTATACATGCACTCTATAGAATTGGTGACCATTTCAACAGAACCTACTTAATTTTATTTTTCCTCCTTCCGTCCACTCCCAGTTAATCTTCGTAAAATCAGATAGAGCAACTCAGAACAAATATTAATGTTCGTATTTTGTGAGGTTTAGAACTTAAGAATATATATTAATAACATCGAGTAACCTGATTTAGAATGAAGGCCACAGGATACATATAGGTTAGAGAATAATGTTGAGCTTCGGCCGTATCCAGGACAAGTATATAGTGGGTGAAAGAGAGAGAGGGGTGGAGGATAACGAGAGAAACACGGAAACAGAGACAGGTAAATCACGACCAGACAGACAGAATACACTTCAAGAGATGTGGGAGAGAGACAGGGAGAGAGGGGGGGGGGGTATGAGAGAAGAATGCATGCATATGAAATGAATTTTATGAATTAATTCTTGTAACTTGATTAGAGCTACAATATAATTATGAAAGAGAGGGTTGTTAGGGGAATACAATAGAAGAGCTGCCCTGGGGTGTGTATTACAATATGATTCTAGGCCTTGACCATAGACCATAGAACTTGATAACATAATACCCATGAGAAATTGAAGAAAATGAAATCAGTTTGATGGTGGTCGTGCCAGTGATGAGTTATACCTATATTTAACATGCACTGGCGTATCCAGAAACGTGTAAACATGAGGCTGCTACTAAAGACCCACTTCAGCAACAGTAGCAAACGCAGTAGTAGTACTAGTAGTAATAATAGAAGTAGTAGTAGAAATTGTAGTAATAGTAGCAATAGAAATAGTAGCAGTAGTCAGGCGCGTACGCAGGGGGGGGGGGGGGGGGGGTTGGGGTTTTTTTACCCCCCTTGAGTTGTTGTATGTGTATGTTTTGTGTACGTTTTGGGGGAAAACCCACCCATTTTGAATTTGATTTTTTTTTTTTTTTTTAATTAAAAAAAAGAAAGAAAAAAAGAAGAACAAAATTTATGCCAATGGCTGACCTAAAAAAGGTGGCCTTACCCCCCCCCCCCACCAAC